TACAGGGAGATCCAAAAGCTTTAAAACCAGTGAGTCTATACAAGTTTTGTAGTTTGCTAATGGTATTTCATTGATAGTGGTTCTGGTCTCTAATTGTCTGTCCGATCATTTATTTCTTTTCCATATCCTAAGTTCATCTTCCTTACATTCTAGTGACCTAACTAGTCAAACCTGATCCTTCTTGTGGTTTATCTTGATTAGTGAACCATAGATTGTTGCTTGGATAAGGTTATTTGACAGATAAGTTAAAACACCCCGATTAGTTCCATCAGAAGTGGACAAGATTAAAATTAACTTATTATGGTATGAGTGTACTGCTATTAACTTCAACTTAAACATTTTAACCCGTGGTTAAGTCAAATAAAGTTTAAAGTTGATGATAAATCAGTTAATCCATCAGGCATGAGTCGTCATATAAATATAAATATATCGAGCCAATCCTAGATAACTTCAATACGCATCCAAGACAACAAAAATAAGGCAGGCCCGCATCAAGAAGAGGGAATTGAAGAAGCAGCAAAAAAAACCCACTAAAATGTTTATAGTCCATCAGTTTTCATTAACCTTAGAATTACCTGAAAGCATAAATCAAGTAACACGTATCATTGAGACCTAACTCACCTTCGATTTTTTGGGCTGGAACGAGAAGATAAATCTCAGGAGATTAGGGATCGCATGTGGCCGCCCCAAGACGGCCTGGCAAACATTTGGATCAGAAATTAGGTGTGCAAGCGCTCTCGCCGACTCCGACTGCGTCCCACTACGATCCCCGCCTTGTCCCGAGCTGGCCACGCTCTCCAAGAGCCAGTCCACCACCGCACCGCCCCCTGCGCTCACAATGGCCGCCCTACGAGCCCCATTAGCTGCCGAGATATCAGCAAGCAGCGCTGCCACCCGGAGCTCGAACCCCGTTCGGACCTCGTGGTTGGCGGACGACAGCACGGAGGCCAGCGACTTCCAGAGAACGGTGGCGGCCGCGCCGGTCTGCCTCATCCGATCCACGACCCTAAGGACGGAAACCTTCGATCTTTCTAGGGTTTCTTCAATATCGGCGTATATTCGGTCGGATCTTGGCGAAGGGCGGTCCAGGAAGGAGGAGGCGACGTAGGCGGCAAGTGCTGCAGCGGAGACGAGGGTTCCGGCGATGGCGTAAAATGGCAGGGAGCGGAGGGGGGAGGAGGGGATAGGCGAAGGAGCAGGGACGGGGGTGTTTCGAATGATGGCATGATTGGGCGAGGGGTCTTTGAGGGGGAGGCTTTGATGGTGCGACGGTTCGAGAGTGGGCTGGGACGTGAAGCGCCGCAGTGGAAATCTTAACGGGGGGCGGCGCCGCTGGGGGAGGAGGCGGAGCATGGCGAGGCCACTCTTCTTGTTCCGTCCGGTGTGTCTTCGGCGAGAAGTTAAAGAAGTCTTTTAGTTGCCGGTAAAGATGCTCCGTGGTGGGATATAAATCAATATAAAACGATGACGTGGCACAGACGAGCTGTGGTCTGACCCCATTCAATGTAAGCCACGTCCGGCGGTCAAGGATAAATAGATCTAAGGCGAGAAGGTATTGGAATTGCGGGAGCAAAAGTGGGTGCGCTGGAATATTCGATGGTCGTTAGGGAGGGAGGAGAAGGGAATCAACGTCGATTGATGAATGGAGAGCCGTCTGATGATTGTTTACCGGCATGGAAACCACCTGAACAACTTATCCACGTAAGATTAAATTATAATAAGAAATGAAAGCCAAATATGTATAATATTCTTCAAGCAAATAAAAGGACGGCCCATTGGGCTTTATGAAGGCCGCCTCATCTGAGCCCATTTAAATTATAACGGAAAAAAGAATGGTTAGCTTTGAAGGAATTACTTCTAGGGATGGAAGCCACGTGGCAGATCGGACGTACGCCATCAACTGGAGCTCATCTCTCTGGAGGAAAAATCCAACCACATGGTGACCGGTTACTAACCTGCGCCGCCCGTGGACCTCTATTGCCCCCACGCGCCGTTCCTCGCGCGTGGTAGCACCACGCCCTTCCTTCTTATGAGCTCAATCCAAGCGGCGAGGGAGGAGAGGAGAGTGAGGGGTTGAGGGTTGGATCGGAGACTGGGTGTCGTCGAGGTTGGAGGACCAGAGGAGGAAACCGGAGCTCCCTTGGCCGGAGATTTGGGCGGAGATGTGGTGGGAGGGGGGGCGGTTCTGCTGGGGGGCCAAGGAGGGACGCGCCGGGATCGTAGTGGTGTTCGTGTGGCCTTCGAGCCTGGAGAGGCAGCTCGAGCCCTACATCCAGCTCTACTCGTCCTTCGGATGGCGATCTCTCATCTGTCATGCCGATTTCCTCACGCTGTAAGGCTCGAATTCCTTTGTCATTCCCCCCTTGCAAGACTCGAAGCTCAAAAATTCCCATCTTGGTTTGATGGATTGTTGCATGGAGGAGCTTAGTCATTGAAGATTACTCTAAATTCTGTAGAACGAATTCATGCAGATTTCTAACTCTGTTAGATTTCTTGAATTGCTAGTTTTCTTGCTAATTTTCTAAACAATGGTGCTGTTATATATGTCTATAATATGAATTGCTTTTAAGCTCGCTCATAGGTTAAAATATATGCAGATATTTTCCAGAGAAGGCTACATCACTGGCTGATGGTGTTCTTAAAGAGCTTGTTCAGGTAAATATGCTGAAGATACACTTAAGATAGACCTATTACTTTGACTTCTTTTAAGGAACAAAGGCATATGTAATTGTGCATACTGTAATCCATATAGGTCACATGACTAGAAATTCTGCACGATCTAAAATTGGTGGTACAATATCATTGAATTGTATTGACTTTGATGTTTAAGCCTACCTGCCCCCAATTAATTTTTGCTGTTCAACTGTCTTCTAGGGTTCCTTTCAATAATTAGGCTGAAATAATCATGGGGGTTCAGGAACAGCAGTTGGCATGGTTGGTTTGGAATTTGGAGGACTTAGATTCACGTGTGTCGGATTTGATGTCTCTGTTTGTTCCATGTTTACTTCTCTGAAATTACAAATGGTTGACAATGATGGAATAGATAGACCTCCAGAACCATCATCTTTTGTTCACTAATGATGCATGGATAAGTTCATTTGTAGTGACTTTGTGATGATATTTGAAGACACTCTTGATATAGATGTTACATAAGTCTCTAATTATAGGTCTCACTGTTCTCTACTTGACTCTGAGGCTTTATTGCTTTCCGGAAGCGCACTGTAGAAAGAAACATGTTCCATTATATTCTACTGTTTTTGGGATACAGGAACTAAATGTTTCACCATTACCTATTGTCTTTTCGGCTTTTTCCGGGGCACCAAGAGGTTGCATGTACAAGGTCCTTCAGGTCAGCTTTCTGATATATTTGACATTTAACTTCTTCAGTTGTATCAGTAAAGGACATTTATGTTTTTTCTTCTTTCCAGTTGATTGACGGAAAATGTGAAGGGCGACTTGGTGTGGTAAGTCATGATTTATGTGTTCCAGACTTTGTTGTTAAGACAAATCTGCAATAGTTCATGGAACACTTAAAACTCACCAATCTCTAATGTTTAAGAGCAAACAATTTCTAAAGTAATATGAATTTTCTTGTTGTGAAGCATGAGTTACGCAACTAAAAAATCAGCTCTGATGACTATCCTGTCCTAGATATGTGCATCCTTTCTGATTCTCGTATTTTGGGTTTTGAAGGATAATTATCAGCTTGTAAAAGACTGTTTATGTGGGCAAATATATGATTCTAGTCCAGTAGACTTTACCGGTGATTTGGGCACTCGATTTATCCTTCATCCGACTGTTCTCAAGAGGTCCCACCCACCTAGAGTTGTTTCATGGATGGCAAAGGCCTTAGCATCTGGTCTCAGCACTTTCTTCATAGACAGATTTGAAGGACAGCATGCTGACTATTTGCAGACTCTGTATTCTTCTGCTGTATGGCTCTTAATACAAATCTCAAGTATGCTTCTCTCTGTATAATCTGTTTGTGCTGCTCTAAGTTACTAATTTTAGATGCCATAATATGCAGAATGTGGGTCCTTTCCTCATATTTTGTTCAGAAGATGATGAACTCGCTCCATATCCAGTTGTCTGTAATTTTGCTCATCATCTAGAGGAGCTAGGAGGTGATGTCAAGCTAATAAAATGGAATAGCTCCCCTCATGTAGGTATGAAATTTAAAAATTTCATGTATAGTAACTAACTTATACTATGCTCCTTTCAAATTTACGTAGAATTTTAAATTCAAATATTATGTTTCATTTTATGCTATGTGAGAATAAGAATGTGGCAGATCCCAGAACAGTTGGATCGGTCTATCTTGTTGCTCTATTAATTATGGTTTTTTCTTTTTCCTGTGGTCATGGTACGGGCAAATAGACTACGATTGGTATGATGAGGACTACTGAAAGCTTATGCTAGATATCAAGAACTTAAACACCACCTTATACCAGGAATGTATCATTCAAGCGAACAATAACCAGACTTATCTCATGGAATGCAGCATAAAGTAGCAAGATACCTAGGATAAATGGATGTAAACTCTAGAGCAGTTTTAAGCTGATTGCTTTTAGGATTTTCTCGTCTTTTGTTATATACTGCATGTTAAATTGTTTGATTTTGAGGTGGTGCCATGACTGTTAAAGAAATGCTTCAAAGTGTTTGTCGTTTTGAATTATCTGATAGCGTTCTCTAGTGTATTAATACATGAATGCTAGACTTGTTTCCTCCTGCAGGCCATCACAAGCATCATGCCGCTGACTACAAGACTGCTGTGTCTGAGTTATTGAGCAAAGCAGCTACAATCTACTCAGAAAGAAGGCGACAATTCCATGTACAACAAGAGGGCCAAAGGGGAGTAACAAATGATCCATGTGATCATTTCATACTGCCAAGCTCCATGGAGTACCATGACACCAGAGATGGATGCTCCACTCAGGATGAGCAAAAGTGTGAGATATTTCACTTGCCGAACGCACCGAGCATCAATGCTCATAGCGTCCTAGCTCAGATTCTTTTTTATGGATACGTTCCTAAGAATGTAGAAGGCTGGGACATAAAGCCCAACTCATCCTTAACCGGGAGGCAAACACTCCCTTCTGGTCATCGGCATGCAGGATTCAGTCCGATGAAACACACAAGACGATCGAGATTGTAAGATTTCGACCCAAGAGGCAGAGACCTGTAAAGAATTAATAGACGACTGTGATCTCTTGTATAGGGCAGCTCAAGTGATGTACATAACAATGTTCACTGTTTCCTTTTTGTCGTATATTTGCTAGCTAAATTATGTTGGTGAAACAGAGATCTAGGTCATTTTTGTATTCGGCAGACATGTCGCTTGAATGATCCTACGACAACGGTTTACAGGATTAGACGAGTCTATTATCATCCCAATAAATTTTATGTTGTGTGGCCTATTATTACCCAAGTATAATCTGTTCATGGTGGTATTTTGAACTGATCAAAGCATGGATTACAATATTTGTTTTACTGTGTGAAGTAGAATTCATGTTATGGTATTGCAGGAAAAGATGAGCTAAGAATGGGTCAATGGAATTCTTGCTACAAGTTTCAGAAGGTATGACTTGGAAGGAATACGGCCTTCATGAATCAGAGGCCAGCTTTTTCTCAGCAACAGTACTGATGCTATTGGAGTACTTGAAAGCCGTCACAATATGGCCAAAGGAGGAGCTTGTTTCACCCTCTGGACCACTCCGAGTACCGAGGAGAGCGGCTATCTTATATGTTTCTTGTTCTTAGGAGAGGAGAGGAGAGGAGAGGAAAGAGAGAGAGAGAGAGAGAGAGAGAGAGAGAGGGGAGAAGAAGATAAGGTGAGAGGTGATAAGTTGGAAGGATTCAAATGCATAGGATAGAAGTCGGTCACAGAGACGATGTCGGTTTATGGATGCCATGTTATGGAATTCTATTGTTGGAGGAGGAAAAGGAAACAGGTGATTCTCTTGCCTGACGCAGCCTTCTCCAAGCTGGGAAGCACCACCAGCCTCTCCTCCCTCCATGATTGACGCCATCTCAGCTCAGTAGCTGCTGGTTTCTGGCAATTCCTTACCTGTGCATGGAGAAGTAAAGCATCAGTGAAAACTCACTCTCACTGCACCAAAATTAACCTGACCTTCCATCACAGGAACTCTGTCCGATCTGATTCATCTCCCCACCTGTAAACAAAGAACATGAGACACAGCAAAATCTTTAATCATTACTGACTACTAATATATATAGGGAAGGCCCCATAGATGCTGCTAGCTTTTAAGAACCCAATCCATCGGCCATTGGTCCCCTCCCAGCCATGTCCAAGTTCTACGTATCTGGCAATGCAGAGAAGATGAACTGATGAGCATCCAACTACATATATATATGTATGTAATTATTGGAAGCACGCTTCATCTCTCTTTTGAGCTTTTGCAGGTGAGATACGTGAGCATGCAATCATAGAACAGTTCCTTTCACGCATCACAGTAACTCATGGAAGGGAAACGAAGGAGGAAGGTGATCATTGTAAAGAATAATTGGAGGACAGAAACCAAATCCTTCCTGCTACTAACGCCACCACCTCCACCTTCTGACACGAGGCTGGGAGATGGCAGAGTCGTTTTCAGTTCTGGTTCTTGCTTCTTACCTCATCTTACTCGAAGGTGGAGGAACATGGTAATTGTTGTTTCAGCTCATGGTCTCTCTCTCTCTCTCTTCTTCTTCTTCTTCTCTGAGACCTCATGCAACGGAATGCCCTCCTCGTGCTATCAGCAAGAGAGGAGGGATCTATCTGCACACCAACCTGCCAATGGGTTGCCCAAATCAAACAAAGAAAGACCAATAAAAGATTGGAGTTGCAGATCATCTGCATAAAGCCTACTGATGCAACATCACAGTAGCCATAGATGTGAAGAGTAAGAAGACTGATTTATGCCATAAAAATTCATTAAACAGTAACGTTATTTTCGATAAATATTTTGATTGGATTACCATAAATCCTAAAAAATTTGAAGTAATCGCGAACAAAAACAGAGACATGTTGACTAAATGTAAGACAAAATAAAAAGACAAAAGATACATATTTGACACTGGAAAAATGCTTGGAAAAGAAGTTCATTATAAGCTATTTAGCTATTTATGCGTCAAACAAAGAGAGATTAGATGTATATTTGGAGTCACTTCAAGATTCATATGAAGAACAACAATAATATGCAATTAACCCTTGCAAAGTACCATCCAACTTTGTGGGTTGAAGTCAAAATCACCGCTGCTAATTAACATGGCCATGTGCCCCATCGAACTGTTCCCCACCGGCAGGATTAATCCAACATGTACTGAAGGAGCAGAAATATATAATGCAGCAGAAAAATAATTGATATTAATTATTAAGGGTGAGAAGGTGAGGCAGGAGATGGAGAGATCACCTGTGGGGCCTTCTCCCATTGGTCTGTGACGCGTGTTGGATGCACGCTCACCCTGGACACCCCTCGTTCAGAAGCCTTCGCTGACTTCCCAATTCCACCTCTCCATGTGATGCTTTTTGGCTTCCTCATTCTATGCATCAGCTGCTGTGGCCACCAAACATATATAATATTTCCTGATGAACTGTCACATACATATATATGCACAAAACAATTGTTAATATTTCCTGTATTCATAGATACAATTTAATTGCCTGTATTTTACATACATACATATACTACAAGTAAACTTAGATACTCATGACTCTACTTTAATCCACATGGCTATTGTCATCTTTCTCTACAGCTGGAAGTAGTAATCATATATAAAGGCATCCTTTAGTCACTCCATGGCTGAGTTTGTGAGGGTAAGTTGGAGCTTTGTGGGAAGTTGAGGAACAACCTTGTAGCAGATTATGATGCAGCTACTACTTGCATATTGCCAGATTACAAGTCATTGATTACAATGAATGTGTCAAGCGCATCCTTAGAGGAATCATGGCAAGAAACAGTGTGACAGTGAGGAAGAATCAAGCACAGGACAAAGGGAAATCAACAATGGGATTATCCTGAATTGGACAATCTATATTTTAAGAGAATAAATTGTATCCTTTGGTAATATACTATATCTGAGGAAAGAAAAGGCTAAAACCACAGTGACAGATTGTTTATATAAAGCCTTGGCAGTGCATTGGTATGGAGCAGACCAAAGGAAGCTTGAAGGGTCACCGCCAGATATACTCCTCCGTTGTGCAGTCTTTTGTCACTCGTTTGCTCAGATATTTTTTTGCTTGGTTTTTACCCCCAATCATCTTCTCTGCAATCCTCTGATACGACTCCAAGTTCATCCCCTCTTCCCCTCGTTTCACCCATCCCTCTCTGCCTTGCTTGATCAGTCCCTTGGTATTCCTTCTCTCTCTGCTCTCCGAGGTGACAGGAGAAGAACCAATGGATGTTGACTACTTGAGCTCCCCAACAGAGGCTCAAATGGATCTGACAACGATGGTGAGGGAGATGGAGAATTTAAGTGGGTTATCCGAAGCACCGCTGCAGCCATCGGAAAGCTACTCCGGTGGACCGTCGTCGCATGCATTCTGCAGCGCTGGTGCTAGCACCTCTTTGCTTGTGGGGGGTGCGCCATCATCGTCAGCTTTCGGCGGTCCTCAGGACCTCCTCGCGCCTGTGTTCTCGAACTCGCCGGCCGCAGCAGAGCTGGCGCTGAGAGGCGCGTCGCACGGCTGCGGGCGGCGGCCCTCGGTGGCTGCCATGAGGGAGATGATATTTCGCATTGCAGCGATGCAGCCGATCCACATCGACCCGGAGTCGGTGAGGCCGCCGAAGCGGCGGAACGTGAAGATATCGAAGGACCCGCAGAGCGTGGCGGCCAGGCACCGGAGGGAGCGGATCAGCGAGAGGATCCGGATACTGCAGCAGCTCGTCCCGGGGGGCACGAAGATGGACACCGCGTCGATGCTCGACGAGGCGATCCACTACATGAAGTTCCTCAAGAGCCAGCTGCAGTCCCTGCAGCGGGCAGCCGCCGCGCACCGAGGCGCCGGGGCTGCCGGCAACGCCGACTTCTCCATGCATGGTACAGGGTCCTCAGACGGGAGCTGCTCGTTCTTCCTCAAAGGCGACGGGGCGCCGGAGCAGGGGTTCACCATGAACACCTTTTGAGATCGACGAGGAGTCAAAATCGATGATCTTACTAGGCTTCAGGCAGAGCTTTTTTGTCAACTCTTAATCTCTTTACTGAGCTTATCACTGCGATCTACTCTCTCTTAATTTATGTCGACGGAGTGATATTTTTATAAGTTATCTTAGATCTGGCAGACTGATCTGCGGGAATGATCCTTCTCCAATATGGTCGTCAAGGCTCTATCGTAAGATAATGTTGGGGAGACAACCTCGTGATTGTTGATCGGAGACCTTAACGGGATAAGTGACTGCAGTTGCAGTCATGGTCGGTTCTACCTGTCCTCTTCCCATATAAATGCATAAACAAAGACGCATTCATAAGTACACAGCCTAGTCTGGTATTCCCTCCACACTATCATCAGATCTCCATCATCGACGAAGTTTCTTTTGTGGGGAGACACAACAACCGATCACTACATCCGCCCTCAGAGTACATGTGACTTCCATGTGAATGCGGTGGGGCCGACGAAGGAAGAGTAAGGAAACGATCGGGACCATCGAGTTACCTTCAGATTGACACAAGTGGTAACTTCGTGAGAAGTCCCATCAAATACAAGTGTAAATCCACTTGCTTATTAACTGGCCTTGCTGTTGGATTTCCTAAAGCATTTATGAAAGAAGACATCCACTTGATCAACCAAGATTACGAACCAAATCCAATTAACCGGTTAATCTGCTCAGATTACATGGTTAATTGATGCCCAGGTTCTTGTTTCGGAGACCTTGAACCAGTTCAGGCAAATGAATGTGGTATTATACGGCAATTACATGGAAACTACTGGTATTAAGCAGAGGAAATTTTAGCACTCAACTGAATCCACAAAGCTTGCTTAGATACTCCGAAACTAAACCAAGAAAGACGGTTCAAAAATACATTGCAGCTTCCATTTAAAGTGGAGCGGTGGAAGGCAAAGTGTTACCTAATTGCCCGAGTCTGAGGACTAAAAACGAGTCGTCGGTGATTCAAAATGATCAACTTTGTTTTGCATGTTCTTGGTTCGAAGTGGTTGGAGGTATGAGCCCACCGGTTGTTTGCCTGAGCAAATATGAAATAGTGTGAATTAGATCAAAAGATTATGAGCAATAACAATACGAAGAAGATTACGATCATAGGGCTATGTGCTTACAGGCCAACGAGGACTTTGAAGGCATCGTAGATTCCCCATTGTGCTCCAGTCAGAGTACCAATCATAACAATACGCAGCGGAAGACCACGGGTGAAAAGGCCCCATAAACCAAGTTGTCTTACGGCCTGACAAGCAAAAGAAGTTGTTTATCAGATGACAGATTTGTCTTACTCCCTTGACAAAGAAATTATTAGGAGAGGAGAAAAGCATGGAAGATGGTGGATCAGACTTACGTCAGTGACAGTCGCGCCCTTTGCATTGTTGAGAAAAGAGACCAGGTTGTCAGCAGGATGAGATATCACGGCACAGAATACCCCAGCCACATAGCCACCAGCAAAGCTCACTGCAAGCTGCAGCGTTTTGCTACACTGCTCCTTTGGCTTGGGAATGACATGCTTGTATATCATCTCAACAATTGTCTCAAAAGAAGCAAATTTCATCATTGTATCTGTATGATGAAGAAGATGCTGTCAGCGCCACATCATTTTTACCATGACAGATGTAAAGCCCAAAACTCCCATCAAGTTTGACAACCGTGGTTTTAGATAACATTTAGATTGAATATGCACAGTTAGTATGTAAACAGAGGTGAAGTTTACATATCATACTATCACATCAAAGAACAATACAGTTCTTTCTAAAGAATAGCTGGAGTTACTATTATTTGCATAAGAACAAGTTGCTAGCTTAAAGAGATGAAGGACATTGATTTTGTTTGTAACTTGAAAATAGGAAAGGAACACTAACGATATGACCGAATAATTAAGCAAAAATATCATACACTTACATCTGAGAGAGTTTTAGATTTTCTTTCTCACAATAATTTCATACGAACAGAAACTTGAACTGGACACAATCTTCTAGTAAACACAAATGGTCAAGAAACAGAGATATAAATAACACTGATCATCCATCAATTGTGATCGTCTAGACCTTGACTACTGCACCAAAGAAGAAATGCTTGACTCCATATAAAACTGAAAACAAGGCATATGAATGTCAAAAAAGGCTTTCAGAGACAAGAAAATTATGTTCTGAATGTGTGATATAAACATAATTCTGATTAACAGAAGATGAGTGTGGCAATGATCTCAAGTAGTAAAGGGTGGGCCACTAGGAAAACAAAAATAATATAACTGAATAAACATACACACACATATATATACATATGTAAATAAATAAATAAATAAACATATATATATATATATATATATATATATATATATATACACACACACACATTCACACATACATACATATACATGAATACATATATACATATATACATATATATATGTATGTATATATATAAAAACATACATATATATATATATACATATATATATGTATGTATATATATAAAAACATACATATATATATATATATATATATATATATATATATATACATGTATGTATATATATGCATATATATGTATATATATGCATATATATGTATATATATACATATGTATACATATATATAAATATATATACATGTATATGCATATATATACATATATATACATACATACATACATACATACATACATACATACATACATACATACATACATACATATATATACACACATATATATATACACACAAATATATATACACACATATATATATACAAGGATAGATCGAGTGAGACAGACAAACAGACGGACAGTTGAAGATAGAGATATTTGGCTCTTATTATGTACATGGATGATGAGTGGTGGGAGACAATGATCTCAAAGCAGAAGATGGGTGAAGGCTGGTGATAATATCAGGCACTCATAAGTTCTGGGATCAAAAGGGTTAAAGCAACCGAAAAGACTAACAATAATAATTTTGTTTCACTTCAAAATTTTGAATTACAGAATTCAAAAACTTGGAAAGCACACAAGATATTCTTCTGTTTGAGAAAAGAAACCCATTCTCCAAGGACAAAGCAAGAACACCCTATTTTCTCTATATTCATTTTAAATTATCCTTGGAAAAAATTTCATTTAACAAAGGTGAGAGAGACGTGAATTTAAGAAATTTATGATGCTCTGTCGAGGTCCTTATTATTTTGACCACATAAATGCAAAGCTAATGTTTCGTGTGTATTACTAGGTCATGCAAACAGCAACTGTGGGAATGAACATTAGAACAACTGGATAAAGACATATCAAAACTGATCTGGTACCTAGAGCCAGCATTATTTTATATTTTTTAATAATTAGAACTCAGAATTCCATGCAATATTGAATTTCCACAAAGGGGCTACTTTGTGAATATCACGAAAGCATATCTCATTTCAAATCCATCAACAATTAGCATTCAGCATATATTAAACAGTGAAAAGCAGAATGAAGAAAATGAAGCTGGTCTGCTTACAAGGAATCTGACGTCCCCAAAGTGGAAGGAGTCCCTTATATAACCTGCAATCTCAATTTGAGATAATGAACCAATCAACAGTCAAAGAGTAAGATCAGTAATAATGTTTAGTCAACCAATAATCATACTGTGCGCACATTCGTACCCTAGAACACCTTCTGATTTGACAAACTTGGGAAGTCCATCCCTCAAGCCCCTAGCAAACCGTGGTTGTGTTTGCACCCGTACCTTCACAGCCTCCATGGGGCAAAGAGCGATATCAGCAATTACTTCAGCAGAAGCAGCTCCGGCGAGGTAAATGAGCGTCTTATATTTTGATGCATGCTTGGGCCCAGTAAGGTCTGCATAGAACTTCTTAAACAACTCATAAAATCCAAACTTGCATGCACCCTGAGCACTATAACCAAGCAGGGTTGGCACCCAACCCTTGAAGAAGCCTCTGAATCCTTGCTCTTCTAGCAAAACACCAAATCCTGATGAGATGCTCTTGTACTTTTCTGGGTCAATCTGTAATTAACCAAAAAGAAATAGTAAGATGAAAACACTATGTAAATGGTGTTTGTTGGTGAACAAGAATAAAATTTAACTGAGATTTTGACCAAGAAGCAACATACAGTAACAAATAAAATAATAAATGTGCAAGATAGATCCAGTAAGTGAGAGAAACAAAAAATGAACCACCAAAAATTTGACATTACTTGGGTGTTTTTGAAATTTTCAGCAATCATAACCCTCATTTATAAAAGTACTCGTGAAATTCCAATCAAAGTTAGAATAATATGTACTATAACAATTGGAAGTCAAGCAATCACAATTCTGTATAGCTTTGAGTGACATAATTAGCACTGAAAACTTGAATAAGTCAGCTAGATTTGGACCAACCAATTGGCATTACTAAAGAACAGAGTTTGCATACGATAAAACAAATAAGCAACATAGTTTATTGAACACAGGTTGCCTCCTTCTGGAAGTGGCCATCGAATCTCATAAAATAAGCAACACTGTCTAGATCAAACAGAAATCGTACTCTTCTTACTTTAGAGACTAAAGGATGTTTGTGGATCAGTACTTGCAGAGCATCGATTCAATTCACAAACAATCCAGACAAAGTAAAAGGCATCGCGATCAAGTAGCGCAGACCTAACATCCGAACACTAACAACTCAATCTACAGATTCCTTCCAGAATCAAATAAGAAACAAGAAAAACGCATAGCACTAATTAACCTAATTCCAGAAATCGGCCACCAAGTAATATTGATCGAAACCCTAGCCTTAGAGAAAACCCCGCGCGTGACACAAATTGAAGAAGCTCACTTGCATATTGCACTTGACAACGTCGAGCGGGGTAATGGCCATGTGAGTGAGGCCGCAGCTGGCGAGGCCACCGAAGGTGCAAGCAGCGTAGTAGAGCGGCGAATACATCTCGATCTTCCGGGTCTCCCTTGTGGCCTCCACAGAATCGGACCCGCGCGGCAGGGTTTCCATGCTGGAGGCGGGCTCCACCGACCCAACGGGGGAGGGAGAAGAGGAGAGGATGCCGGGGAAGGGCGAATTGGGAGGTTCCTCGAAGATCGCCATGGCTGGGGGTTGGAGACGGTGAATGCGATTCGAATTCGTTGGAATCTTCCTGCTGTTGTTAGGATGACGGGGGTCAAGAAAACGAAAGAGGCGGAGAGACATGAGAAGAGTGACAAGGACAAGAAGGGCATTGTAGGAATTTTCGGGGAGGTCTTCGACAGCGGTTGTAACCAAATTGACGCCACGGAATCGAGCGGGAACGGCTGTTAGGCATTAAATATAACACGTGTCAGCATAGAGGGCACCCTCCCAATTATTGGAGAGAAATGCTTTGCCTACTCGTTCCCGCCCTGCGTCTCGCTTACCCGCCTCGTGATTGGCGAGGCACGACGCGCCTCACGTGCCCCACAAACTCCTCGCACCCGCCAACCACATTAGGAGCCGACGCGTATATTTGCAGTTGGCAGCGAGCGGGTACTTTCTGCTGCGCGCGTCGCAGACTCTTTTTGGGAACACAATATACTCTCCGAGGCAATTTAGCGAACATCTGGCGAGCAAACTATCGTCTTCATGGGCCGAGAACAGCTTTGTCGACCTCACCAGGAAGATACTGGGAATTCAAGCACGAATTGAGAGAACAGAGTAAATCATGATGTTAAGATCCCTGCATTCGCTCCATGATCAATGCAACAACAAACGAAGATTCATTCAGTAAGAACATGAAATCAAGGAATAAGTAAACGAAAGAAGCCTTCCTTTATTCGTTATCGTGTTTAATTGTATGACATACACACCTGCAGTTTTGCAAGAGAGCAAAGGAGAAAAAAATGAACTACAACATTATCATGTGAAGCTTGGCAGCTCACGTATGGGTAAAAGAACAAACATATCACAAGCACCCAGATAGCCCTGCTTTGATTTAATCGTACTCGAATATACCGCCGGTATGGTTGAAACCGCAAGATACTTGCAAAGCCTTCACTCGCTGGTCGAAGTTTACCATCTTGGGCACATTGCAGTCGTTGTCGTCTCCGTGGCCCTGCACATTCATCAGCAGTCTGAACTCCGGGAACCAAAACTAATGAATGAAGCTATGCTGAAAACAGTGGTAGATTCTCTGCTATATAAGCTGTTTCATGAAACATTGGCAAATTCCAAGGAACATCCAGTGTTGTAAATGTCAGCCACACCAGACTAGACTATTTGAAATAAGAATTGAAGAACTTCTAGATCAATTTTTGGTTCAATAATGAAAAAATAATAATCTCACTTCCACCGACAAATAGAATGTTTTAGGATACAATGTAAGTGATGATTATTGATTTAGAAATTCTAGCAGCTAGAACAGGAATACACACATTAATCTTATTGGGATCGCATCAAAAGGAGTAGGAATTGATATTCTGAGGATGTACAATTCAGGAAAAAAAGAAGAGACACTTTTATCGGTAGCCTTGGTAATTGCATTGATGCATGCATGCCATGGAGCAAGAGAAATGATACTTCTTCCATGATCGGCTAAAGCTTTCACAAACATCTAGCTTGAAAGCTAGATATATTATAAAACATGAACATATTAAGCTATATGTTCGTGATCGAGAGAATTCGGAGCATTTGATAAAATATAACTCACAAGTTGTCCTCCAGAAGAATGGCCATCCTCGAAAAATGTTCCATTAGCACCTCCCCAGCCCCAGGTAAAGATGTTGCCACCTTAACATTGACATTATAAAATGGTTATTATGCATAAAACAAAGCATTACGAATTTATCAAATTTGGTATAGACAAATGAAGATTACAAATATAGCATATATTCTTAAAATTTGAACTATCCTACAACCTAGAAATGCACTAAATTCCACCAAATTTGCTTCTCAAATTATATACCAACTTGTTTAAACAACATTAGAACAGGAGTTTAACACTAAGTATTGGGAGTACTTCATATTAGGTTACCATTTTATTATCGTAGCAATATGCAATGAAGCTTTTGTGGACCTTTGTATATATCACCAACTTCAGGTTAATTTCTGTTGTGTGAGTTCTATGAAAAAGTACTTGCAATTCGACAGTGCCAATTTTAACAATAATAATTATGTAACATTATGCAATGATGTCAACTTAAGAGTTCCACTAACTGTATCCCTCATTCCAAATATCACATCATGCATGATTGTAGCGGTTTGTGCAAGCTTCCCTAAGTGTTTAATTAAATTTCTAATTTGGAGCCAAGTTCATCATAATATCATTTACAGTGTCACTAAACAAATACCTAAAACATGCTACTGTGCTTTCTTCGAGAAACTTATTCTCTGGAAGGCCAAGTAACAGCGAGTTATCAGCTTAGAAGTGCTAAACATGTATCCTGTTGTTAGCGATGCCCTGTATGATTCTTCTATAGAAGCTTTCATCAAAATAGATAGCCATGATGCAAATAAATGTTTAAACAACCTGATCTTCCATACCATCCGATATCATCTCGAACTAGATTCTCTCTAAGCATCAGATATCTTCTTGAACAACATTGCAGCATGCCAATTTTATGCTAAGATGTCTTCCTTGTTCACCAGGTACCAAATATTAACAATTAAGAATGGGCTGTTACTGCCTTCTGGTATTTAGTTGTATGCTGGAGGTGCTCCGAAATAGCAACACTTCTTTTCTACTAAAATGGTCGAGGTCAATTCTCCAACCATCATACACTTGGTGACATGATGTAAGAAAACTACTTAAGAATGTTCCTCAAACTAGTTACAGGCAGTTTTTCACTTGTTTTGACAGGCACGTGTAGCACGAGGCAGAATCATGCTGAGCCATATCGTTCCAATGATATATCAATGCCAAGCATGCCAACAACATAAAACCCCTGTGCCATTGACTGAGACCTTTGCAAAAGTGAGGAGAACCTTAAGACTCGAGCAAATTTGATGATCATGTAGGTTAACAATCAAAATAAGCTTCTGATTGGCATTTTAGCAGATATTCACTTCAAGATAACTGGACCCAAGCAAGATTCTATGAATGATGGTATTTGCTACAAGTACACTATTGATGGTTAAACATTAGGATTGTATTGCAACGGGATGATCGTTTGATAATTCTAAGACTTGGGATCTTCACAATAATATATACAATAGTGTACAACCATTATCCCATCAAAAGTATGAACTTACTGAAAATATACATTACATGCATTTGCAGAAGAAACAGTTCTAAATCATAGACTTATCAGCTTCTAACAAGTACAATTTCTGAGAAGCAAAAAACAGAATCCTTTGGAAGAAAAATAATCTTACATGATGTTCACAAAGAAAAATATGTTGGCCGTGTGGTGTACAATTAAGCACATGATGATTATCAACAACAATTATGCCAGTAATAAAAAACTGAAAACAAACCCAATCTCTAAAAAAATAGTAAAAACTAAAATCTGAGAAATGAAAATAGAGTTGCTATTCCAGAACATAAATCATAACACAATTAGATAAGCCCAACATTGCACAGAACACAAAAGAATGTACGAATAATGAATAGTTTGCATGTTTTTATTGAGTTAATTTTTAATCAATAAAGGCAAAATCTTACCAGAAATCACAGCTGTATGCTTCCAACCACAAGCTACCTGCACATTTCTTGAAGAAAACTTTAGAGTAAAGCATTTAGAAACATATCTAGTGGATGATGCAGAAAACACCAGAAAATTATGACCTTAGATATAGGAGACTTAAGAAAAGAGCTTTGAACAATTTCTGGATTGCGGATCATCTCTGTGCATCTGAGTTCAAAATGAGGATTATTAGCACCATGTAAAACCAGAAAATATCAACTATATATGACAAATGAATTGAAAAAGAAATCTACAAGTTGAGGAGTGCAATGAGAAGTTAATTGATACCCTAGGCCGAGGCAACCATTCTCATTTGAACCCCATGTGTATAACTCTCCTCCACCTGCATATGATAAGGATTGATGTAACTCCATAACGTTAAGTATTTTTTACAAGAGAACATCACAGTTTTCATTTGCATTTCACTATCCAATTAGGAACTGAACAGATGTTTAAGAATAATTAAGGCTCACCAACTGTATTCAAGAACCGTCCAAAATAGAAACACATCAAGATAGGTAAACTAGAAAATCATTATATTATTCACAAGCAAACAGTAATAACTTCAAAGCAGTTCTGGATCCAAAGTCATGACTCAAAAGGGTTCAAAACCTTTCCCAACTAAAAGAAACAAGAAAAAGAAAGACACTATGAATCATGAAATGAATACAGATATAAGATATCATTAAAATGCTATCTGGCTATGCTGCACAAAATTTGGAAAATAAAAGGATCCAGTAAGACACAAATACAGTGAAAAAATTTATATAAGAATTATGTACAAGAAGAATTAACATTTTATTTCGGATATTATAATATGTAGTCATGGAACATGACAAATAATAGGCAATTAATGAGCAACACTAATTCATCTCTGTTTAATTCATCACAATAACATAATCCACGACTGAGTATGTAAGTAACAAGAACTTATGATGACAGACATAAGATAGACTTATCATCTCTGTTTAATTAAACAAAACTCTAAAAGACAACTACAACAAACAACATAGCTAAAATCACATACCGGTGAAATCCATCATCAAAAGACCATATTCAAATAAACAAAGTCCTTATGGAAACTATTCCTGAACTATCCCATAAGTATTCGGCTTTGTGATAAATTTAAATATCAGACACTTAAATGAAGTGTCTTAAAGATCAATGACGGAAAAAATATCAATATAACTGACTCCAAATTGTGTTATGTTGTTGTTTTCAACAACACTCTAAACGAAATGTTCAACACAAATATGAGAAGCAAACAACAGAACTTGTGACATATTAATCAAATGGACTTATCAATAGGCCAATCTGTGATATTATTTTACTATTTTAGACATAATGTAGCAACATGTACACCAAAATATTCAGGATTTGAATCTCCAAGCTGAAAACCAATGAACAACCAGAAGCCAATTTGGGAGTTGATTGAAGACATTACTTGTCACAATGCAAGTATGGTAACCACCACAGGCAACTTCTTCAGAATCTGGGATTTCCTGAACAACAGTTGGAGTCCGGATGTTCTTTCCTTCTCCAATCTCCTGAAGTTACAGAGCAATGAATTTGTTAGCTACTTGAACCAAAATGATAATGTATGATCATACTTATTGGTGATGATAGATACCAGCTTATTTGTGGACCTTTCACCAAATATGAAGACAGAGCCTTTTTCTGCTTATTAGTAACACAGAACAAGAAAATTACATTCAAACAAAGATATACACCTTCAACGATTATCAGATAAGTAATATATTATGAGCATACCATCAATGCAAGCTGAATGCAACATTCCTGCAGCAACTGTCTTGATCTATAAACACATGTATGTAGTCAAAAGATTACCCAAGACCAACCGTCCAAAAGCATCCAATAAAAAGAATTTAAAAGAAAATGCATGTCATACAAACAAAAGTACCTTGACGCCTTCCAAGCTTTTGATTAGCCTTGGAGTATATTCACTGCATAAATGGATCTTTAAGTATGATTCTGTACGATAAGAAAATTTGTTATCCTTATTGATAAAAAAATATTATGATATGTTTTAAGAAATATGTTGTATGTAATTGTTAATAAATAAATATTGTGGCAAGTCATTATTCAAAAGATAAAAGCATCCAAACAAGCCACTTCTAGATCATAGATGAAAAATAAGAATGCACCTCAAACACTAAGGAAGCAGCCCCAATGGAAGTTCTGATGCAGCATCCAATCTTTCAATTTATTATTTTATATGACAATGAGACATCCTTAGCAAGATCTTAAGTAGCATGTGTGCAAAATGTGTTTAATTAACAAATCCAAATTATATTCCTGCTACTGTAATATATGTGTTTAATTAAAATGTTCATAGATCTCAAACCTTGAGCTCACAGAGAAGCCAAATAGGCTAGACTTATGACCATGACCAAGTCTACCAGAATCACCTGCTCCCCAACTTAAGGCATCACCAACATCTGTAAAGGAGGACATGCATTAGAAAATCTACCTCAATTGTCAATAGTCTTAACTGCTAAAAAAAAGTCATATGTATCTTTATTCTTTTTTCAACCTGTTATAGCAATTGAGTGCTCTGAACCCAGTGCAACCATCTTAATGTTGATCCCAACCAAGAAATCAACTCTTGTAGGGAGATAAACTATGCTCTTTGTACCTATAACAAATACTAAGACCAATTATTCATTCCCAATACAATTTAAGATCATTGAAAGAATTTTAAATTGTTAAATTAAGCTATGTGCAGAGGTCATCTATAGGTTAGATCAAGTAAAATGTGTAATCAAATAGTAGTTTTTTCCAATCAGTAAATAAGTGCTTCTAAAAAACCCCAACATAAGCATGAACAATCTTGACAGTGGAGAAAAGGTCAGATATCCAATGAAAGCAATTCCAAACAACTGAGGTTGCATTTTTAGAGATTAAAAACAACACCAACACGAGAAAAAAGGAAAAGCTGTAGCAAGGATAAACATACAAGAAAAAAAAGGCTTCATCAAGTAAACTAATAACAGAAGGAAGTCAGATGCAGAAAAAAAAATAATGGAAATGAGAACCAAACATACAAAGTTGATGCACTAAGTGAATTGATCAATGGTAACACTAAAGGAAAATGGAAAAATCTTCCTACAGGATATTGCATTTGCTTTTAAAAGATACAGCAACAATTTGATCAAAACTTCAAATACAAAAAAAATATATAGGTAAAGAACAGACAGATAATCCTTAAGTAAACAATTCTGTAAAAAGACTCTAGATATGCAATAGGTGCCTATCATGGAGATACAAGAAACGTCAAAGCATGAAGCATTGGTGGAAATATTTACAACAAAAAGATTGATATAATGCTAAAATATTAAAAATAAACATTTCCTTCTAAAACAAGAACTAATTACATATAGCTACCACAAAAAGTTGGGACACCACAGCTTGTCGCCGACAATGTTATTATTGTACTATAGGGAACTTACGGAAAGATTGAAAGGAAAGAAGCAGAAAGAAAACAAAACAACTTGAAACATTGAAATTTTGTCTAGAGAAATCTCTTTCGGTATGGTTTTAATTCATCTGCATGGATAGTGCCGACAATATGCTTGTACGATATGGCCAAATCTCTTCCACATAAGATTCATGTCGACTAGCACAAAACAATACTGACAGCAGATTTCTCTAACAGCATCATGTAATCATTATAAGACAAGGAAAAAAATTAGCCAAAAAAAAAAAAAAAGCATGCATTCATCAGCTCTAATTTTTACAATAAGTTTGTAATGATCTTAAAGGTCAGGTTTTTTATTACTTAAAAAAAATTACAGATGCAGATGCGAAGAAAAATAAAATTTGCTAACGAGCGTGACAAATAAGCAAGCATGAAGCAGATATGTGTTGCCATTGGTGCATTATTACCAAATGAAAATTGAGAGTGATAGAACTCAAAAAAAGAAAGCTCTGCCAACTAATAGCACACTAAATAAAAGTAATAGAACATTACTTTTTCCAAGACCAAGCTGCCCACTTGAATTGTTGCCCCAAATGAAAAGTTCTCCATCCGCTAACACAAAACAAACAAAAAAAGCAAGAGTACAGTTAGATGCCCCATTGGGGATGAACAAGAGCACTCCAGGAAACTGATCCATCAAATGAAAAGCATGAGCAAAAACATATAATTTAAGGATTTAAATACTAGTCCAAGACTGGTTTTGGTAGCTATAAAGACAGGTAAGAAATGTCATATTGGGTTTGTAACACTAGATACCAGCAATGAATATAGCAAAAAAATTGAATATTGTACGGTTACCAAGCTATATGTCTTCAAATTGATATTAGGTAAGGTTGGCAAACACTATTGGCTACATACTAGTCCGATCAATATTTATATCCTTACTACATTCTTCTAAATATTGGATAAATAAATTGACCTAAAATTTAAAATATCGCTGCCATCCAATAATGCATCATAATTAAAAATATATATAATGTTGCTCTGTATTTATCTTAGAAGGAAGGCTCCCAAAAGAAATTTAATTAAATGAAGGCAAGGAAGTTTGCAGGGTCCATTGTTTTCTCACCAGTAACAGCAGCCGAATGATGGTAGCCAGCTGAAATTTGTCTAATGTTCTCAGGTAATCCAGAAACTTCAGCTGGCTCCTGCACAAATGATGTTTATGTCTTCAAATCAGATTAAGATCTCTTTGTTTCTATATAATTCATACTTCATGTCCAGAAAATTAGTAGTGGAAGTACAAATATGAAGTATTTACTAATATTTTCAATATACTTCCTTTTCAACAGATATTAAACTCAACAACACAGACTAAAAAACTTGTTTTGCATTGATGCCTTTAATTTTTCAAAGGAATATCACAGCAAATTCAACCAACATGGGTATTGCATAGATACAGAGTATAAATTAATAGAATTTTAGACTAGCCAGCTATTCAGTAATCGATACACCTAAGAATGATGAAGAGTATTATACCTTTTTAGTAGGACAAGTTAATCGACAAGTTATGCTTTTTTGGCCAATTATTATATATTTATTCGTAAAATTAGAGCTAATGAAGTAAAATACACATAAAAGAAGATGAAAATAGCTAAAAGACGCATTAAAGAAGCTAAAAATAGGTAGGAGTGTGGGGCTTTATGGTATCTCTATTGAGGTCTGAAAAAGTTTGGGGACAAAAGAGTAGCTTGGTTATCTAGCTTATTTAATAAAACTATGAGATTTGGAAGGATGCTTGATGAATGAAGAAAGAGTTTTTTAGTTTCAAATTACAAAAATAAGGGTGACGTACAAAATTGTTCAAATTATAGAAGAATTAAAATCATATGTCATACCATGAAACTTTGGGAAAGAATTATTGAAAATAAGATAAGCCTTGAAACAAATATCTCTAAAAATCAATTTGGTTTATGCCTAGAAGATCAACCATAAAAGCTATTTATTTATTAAAGCAATTAATGGAAAAGTATAGGGAGAAAAAGAAATATTTACATATGGATTTTATTGATTTAAAGAAAGCTTATGATAGAGTTCCTAGAGATTTATTATGATGGGTTTTAGAAAAAAAAGGTGTATCCACTAATTATCAAGGTCTGCCATACCGAAGCATACCGCCCGTACCGGGTGGTACGTACCGGTCCGACAGGTTACCGGTATGCGGACCGCCCGTTACTGCTACAGTGCTACAGTACTATACTGTAGCACTGCTACAGCATGAAAAAAGTATAAAATTGTTCGGAACACCAGGGTGTACCGCTCGGTACGCCCTGATGTACCGCCCGATACACTGGTATTATATTGACGTTATTAAAGATATGTATGATAATAAAGATAGTATTATACGGTACGGTACGACGAACCTTGCTAATTATATTGACGTTATTAAAGATATGTATGATAATATAGCTATTAGTGTTAGAACTCTAAAAAGTGTGTGTAGCGAGTTTCCAAATAGCATAGGATTATATCAAGAATCTACATTAAGTCCCTGCCTTTTCAAATTGATAATGGATGAATTTACTGATGATATTATCTTAATTGATGAGCCTAAGTGAAATTAATTATAAACTCGAGTTATAGAGGCAAAAGCCTTAGAAACTAAATGTTTTAGATTAAGTAGGATTAAAACTGTATATATAAAATGTAATCTTAGTGTTTCTAGAAATAGACAAAAAATATAGTTAAGTTGGACGGATAAGAAGTCCTTTTAAGTAAAAGCTTTTAAGTACCTTGGATCAATTTTTCAATAAGACAGAGGGATCGACGAAGATATTATTTATAGAGTAAAAACATAATGATTACCTGGATAGATAGGAAAAGAAATACTCTTATCCATGAACAACTAGGTATCGTTTCGATAGAAGATAAGATGAGAGAAAATCATTTAAGATGGTATGAGCATATGTTTAGGAGACCTCCAGATACGTTAGTCAGAAGAGGCGAAATGATTAATATTAATGGTACGTGGAAAGGTAGAGTAAGACCTAAAAAGACTTTAATAAAAACTGTAAATAAAGATTTACATAACTAAACATATGACCTTTTACATATTTTAATGGCGACAAAAGATCCATATAACCGACTCCACATAGTTTGAGACTTACAGCATTGTTATTATTGTTATATAAGTTAATGATCACTTTAAGACAAAAGTGTAAATTACATCAGATAATGTATGCATTTTTTTTTTTTAAGATCTTGAGTTAAAAACACATAACAAGGTGCATGTCAACATACCCTTTTACATTTAATTTGTGTCAATTGACATGCAACATAAGAACAAATTATCAGAAAACTAAGCCTGGCAAATTGTTTGGTGTAACTACAAGCATGTTAGACTTAGATGAACTTCCCCTCTATAGTGCATTTATAATTTTTAGTAACCTTTGTTCTCATACATCTTCCTTCAAAAATATTGGCTTGCGCTGTGGTTCTTATCAGAGTTTCTAATTTCGAATAATACTGCCCGGTACGGGTAGTACATATCGGTCCGACAACATACCGATATGTGGACCGTCCATTATCGGGCGGAATGTTCAATATCATATGATATGGGGGTATATCGGATGGTAACGGTCGAAATTTCGGTCGTTATCGCCCGACACAGCTCGGTAACGATTGATTTTGACCGTTACCGAACTGTAACAGTGCTCCAATGGTCAAAATGACCGTTGGAGCCCTTTCTCATGGGTTTTTAAACTCATCTTCTCTCCTATTTCACTCTATTTCACTCTTACACTCTCTTAAACTACCTCAAACTAATTTTTTCTCACATTTATACTCTCATAAACTTTACAAAGCAACGATTTATGAATTGACAATTCAAATGATTTTTCTGTAGATATTTCAATATTTACAGAAGAACAATCCGTAACGGACCGAAATATGAATCTTGCACAAGACTATTCCTCAAAGTCCGAAAAAGATATGTGATAATATTCTTACCTAATTTACATTGGTTTTGCTAAACTTATACAATTATTATATTTATTTCTAACTTAAAAACCCTATCCTAACTTTTTTTTTTCAGGTATTTTCGGAGGATTTTATGCCTAAATTAGGTATACCGCTCGGTATGCCTTAATATACCGCTCGGTACATAGTACCGTATAGTACCAAGCGAAGCTCGAAACTCTGGTATGGTACGGAATGAAATTTTAATCCTTGGTTCATACAAAAAGGAAGGAGTATTCTTGCTATACCCGTTTCTACAATGCACAAATAGACTGAGTAAAGACACCCGAAATTTAAAGTGCGTCCATTAGACTATATTGTCATCAACTTAGAAGTGATTCCTAAATACCCATATCATGGTTTTCCTTACCGGTCCATACCGATGTGTTGACTAGCTATAAGTATGGTACGTACTAAGCTGTATCAAGCCATACTGAGCGTACCGACACATGATACATAAGAACATGCCGATGTACCGCCTATACCGGTCTCCTATCGGACCAAAATATGCATCGCTTGGACCGAGTGATACGCTGCAGTACAATGAACCTTGACCCAGATAAAACCATGTCAACAATTACATTTAGAGATAATTAAAAACGATCATAATTTAAAGTAATCAGAAAGAACAGCTTACTAGTGCAAAAGGTGTTGCAGATGATCTGCCTAACTGCCCAAAGTTGTTCAGTCCAGAAGCATAAACACGACCACATTCTGTTCAACAGAGGGAAAAATACTCAAAAACATAGGAATGGCAACAAACATCTCTGCAGGGTGTGCAATAATCATGTTCAGAGAAGTCAGGCAGATATACAGAAGATCAGTTACGGAAAGACGAGGAGAGCATGACACTGAAGCACATAATTGCATTCAACCATGAAAATACTCGATGTGAATAAAGCAGATTAAGAAATCAATCCCTGCATTTAGCATCTAGTCTTACGAGGTCGATGTTCTGCTGTCCGTCTAAAAATACAGCTGTTATACAAATTATCTTTCTAGGCCCATAAAAATTTGATATATGATGGGTGAAATTTGAAGCTAAAGACACTTTAGATGCTAATATGTCAAATTATTGGTGGAGCATCCATTCACAAGTTATTATATAATAATTCCCATATTATTCTTGAGGAAAATTAGTTCATATTACTTTGGGGACCAAAATTTAGACATTATAATTAAGGAAATCAATACACACTGCTATAATTTCAGCTGGCATATTTTTGCAGGTTCATACTGTGTTGAAGCATGCCAAAATCCATTCCTTGTATGAATAGCTCATAAGTTAACAGCAAATACAAGATGATAATGTATTTAAAATGTCATTACCTCGAAAAAGTGATGGCATTTCCCATGGTTCGCATTACCAGTCCATACCAGTGTACCGACTAGCTATCAATATGGTACGTACCGAGCTGTATCGAGCATACCGACACATGGTACACTGATATATATTGATGTACCATCCACATCGATCCTCTATCGAACCGGTACATACTGCCCGTACCCAATGATATGCTTCGGTACGTCAAACCATAGCATTTCCTTATTTCCAGTTGCCTATCCCATATGGTTTAAAATATTCATTTTAATATATCATTTATCTTCAGAAGCTATTCTAATCCAAATTCTGTCTGAAAAGAAATATTTATCTGCACATTAACCGAACTTCCATTTTCATGCCTAGTTCAAATACCCTCACATCTTCTGCCAATTTATTCTCAAGAAGTTATCAGTAACCCCGAATCATTCTTTGGTCACAAGCATGCATTCGGTGCAATGACACATACTCCCAGATCCCTTTAGCCATATCTACTCCCCTACATTTCCTGCTCTTACCCTTTGAACCTCATGGTTTTCAACATGTTATCCAAATTCCAAATATCAGTGTTAGACACTGTTGTTTTTTCAGACAAATAGAAAAGAAGTGATAACAAAATGGAAATAGAGGAAAAGAAGATGGACTTCTACAAAAAGATTTTCATTTTTTTCCTTGTTAAAACTCAAGAATGATCCAAGAAACAAATATTGATCCAACACATGATTTTTTTTTCTTCTTATTGCTGACCACCGCGAACGAAGACTCTTTGACGCCATAATGGTGCTTTCTGTTCGAAAGGCAAGAAGAGAACATTACTTGATCTTTCGAATCTCAAACTCTGTACCTAAGTTTCCTCAAAAAGGAAAGGAGAAAAAAAAACAAATCTTGGAAGAAGAATCAAGAATGCATTTTTCTTGTTGAAACTCAAGAATGACCCAAGGGACAGATCTTGATCCGACACATGAATTGCATTTCTTCTTATTTCTCATCACCGCGAACCAAGACTCGTTGACGTCATAACGGTGCTTTGTGTTCGAGAAGAAAATTACTTGATCTTTCGAATTTCAAAGTCTGCATCTAAATTTCTTCGGAAGGGGAAGAAAAAAATAGAAAACCTAATCACGGATGAAGAATCAAGAATGCGCCTTTTTATCGAAATTGCCGCTTTCCGTTCCCGAAGGAAACATAAAAGAACAAATTTTAGAGATAAACAAGTACCAGTCAAGAAGAGGGTGTGCGCGCCGCCACAGGCGATCGACACCGGGGGATCATCATCGAAGAAGGGACAAACCGTGGGCTTCCATCGGGACTCCAACCCGCCGAGCCCTAACCTCCCGTAGTCCCCGTTCCCCCAGAGAGCGGCGAACCTCCGCGGCGCCTCTCCGGAGAACCGCCTCGAGGGGCTCAAGAAACGAGGCGGCTTCCCTCCGCAAGCGCGCAGAAGAGCCCTCCTGCACAAAGCAGACGCCATGAGAGAGAACACTCGAGGATTGCTACCGTGGACAGAATGGAGGCGCGAGTTGATGCGGCTGTCGGCTTGCGACTAGGACGGTTTCATTGCGTATGGCATGACGTCATCAAACGGGACGGTAAAGTATAACCATTTCGACCTCCGCCGTTCCGTTTAATAGATTTGTTGTCGGGGACAAATAGGTACTTTTAAGATCCTCTTAGGGCTACAATGGTAAGATAAGGCCTCTGCTTTCCCATTCTTGGATCCGAGAGGAAAGCCCTTCGATCGCGCTTACTCACAGCCGCAGGCGCCGCCACAGGGTGATTGCCCTCTCCTCTCTGTGTTCTTGTGACTTGAATCTTTTACTTTTCTTGGCCTTTGTTGAGAATTGTACCTATTTCTTCCTTTGTTTGTCCAATTTCACTGGTTTTGCCGGAAAATTTTGGTTTTTTTGGTCCTAATATGAGCTTTCTATATGGAAATATCATGTGTTCTCTTTAGGTTTCTTGTTTTTTTTCTACAATTTGTTGATTTGATTAAATTCTGGAATGCCATCTCCAACTCAGAAGAAGATCCAAAAGAGCAACATTTTATTACTCCTTTTCCTTCTCTTCTTTTGGTACACAATCCCTCTCTGTTTTTCGACAGCAAACAAAATTCTTTACAGAGCAAAATTGGCATGTAGAAGTAGTAAAATAATCCTGTGTGAGTACTGAAAACAGAGATCTAAACCAATTTCCATACTTTGCTGTGTGAAGTGTATTCTTTATCTTGTTTCATTTGCTTGAACATATCTTACTACTATGTTGTTGGTTTCAAAAATATGCAAATATCTATAACCTGTGCAGTCTGAAGGATTCTTCTGATCTCCAGGTCTCTGTAATCATATTCAAAATCACATCCAGGGAATGTTTCGATCAGTAACAATCAAGTAGCTCTCTTCTAAGATGTTGAGTTAGTAGCTTGGTTGTTCTACTGTTGCTTAACAACTTCATATGCATGGTTGGAATCCTATGCGGTGGAGCAGATATGCTTTGAAGTCCTAAGTAGTTCTGTCTTGGTTCGTGGTTCGTGGTTTAGGGATTAGGTTACTGATAAGATTGTTTCTAGTTAAGTTTCTTGCAAGATGATGAAACCAATCCAAGCACAGCATATGTGGCCTATCATAAATCGTGTCGCATTTTTTTCTTTTATTAAGAGAGACTCAATCAGTGTCAAACTATTTAAGAGCCTGTTATTTGCATACTTCTGCCTCTCAATCCGGTATCTCATGGCAGATGGTCATGAAACCGATAAGAACATTGAGATATGGAAGATTAAGAAATTAATCAAGGCTTTGGAATCTACAAGAGGTAATGGCACAAGCATGATCTCCCTCGTAATGCCACCGCGTGATCAGATATCTCGAGTCACCAAGATGTTGGCTGATGAATATGGAACTGCTTCAAACATCAAAAGTAGAGTCAATCCACAGTCTGTCTTGGCAGCGATTACATCTGCTCAGCAAAGGCTGAAACTATACAACAAGGTTCCTCCCAATGGACTGGTGTTATATACTGGAACCATCGTCACCGAGGATGGAAAAGAAAAGAAGGTGACTATTGATTTTGAGCCTTTCAAGCCCATCAACGTGTCGCTCTATCTTTGCGATAACAAATTCCATACCGAGGCTTTGAATGAACTTTTGGAATCAGATGACAAGTTTGGTTTTATAGTTATGGATGGAAATGGAACTCTTTTTGGCACATTGAGTGGTAATACGCATGAGGTGCTCCACAAATTCACTGTTGATCTTCCAAAAAAGCATGGTCGTGGAGGACAATCAGCACTACGTTTTGCTCGGCTTCGTATGGAGAAGCGCCATAACTATGTGCGAAAAACAGCTGAACTTGCCACCCAGTTCTTCATAAACCCAGCTACGAGTCAGCCAAATGTGGCCGGTCTAATTTTGGCTGGTTCAGCTGATTTCAAAACAGAGTTAAGCCAGTCGGACATGTTTGACCCGCGTCTTCAAGCTAAAATACTCAATGTGGTTGATGTTTCTTATGGAGGAGAGAATGGTTTCAATCAGGCCATCGAGTTGTCAGCGGAAATTTTGTCAAATGTGAAATTCATACAGGAGAAGAAATTGATAGGGAAGTATTTTGAAGAAATAAGCCAAGACACAGGAAAGTATGTCTTTGGTGTGGATGACACATTAAAGGCTTTTGAAATGGGAGCCGTGGAGACCTTAATCGTATGGGAAAACTTGGATATCAATAGGTATGTGCTAAAAAACAGCACCAGTGGGGAGATTATAATAAAGCATCTGAACAAGGATCAAGAAGCTAATCAGAGTAACTTCCGAGATCCAGCAAACAATGCTGAACTAGAGGTGCAGGAGAAAGTTTCGCTGCTGGAGTGGTTTGCCAATGAATACAAGCGTTTCGGTTGCACATTGGAGTTTGTTACCAACAAATCTCAAGAGGGCTCACAATTCTGCAGGGGTTTCGGTGGCATCGGGGGCGTCTTGCGGTATCAGCTGGGCATTCTTCAGCTGGACATGAGAATGCTGGATGAGCTGTCTGATGATGAAGTGTACGAAGACTCTGATTAGCATTCGGGTAACGGTTCACCGGGGCTGGGCCAGGGGAGATCTTGCAGTGTCAACATCTATACCAACAAAATCTCATGTAGGATTTCTTGTCTACCATTGAAGTCGTGCAGAGATATTACAAATGCTTTGCACAAGGAGTCAGATTCAAGGGTTGGTGGTACATCTCAAGTACACAGTGGAACTCCAGGATTGGATTTTGCTGATCTCTAGCTAAAATTCATGTTGTATTGTTCATTTCAGTTTGGATATACTTATGATTTTATGTGTTTTTTTTTTTCTTTCAAATGGAAACTGCTTCACAAGATGTTTTGGAGTCCAAGTACAATCTGGGATTAAACTCTGCTCCCCAAGATGTAGACAACTCTTATGATCTACCACATAAAGCAAGATTGTGTGGTACCACATTCCTATTCCTCCTGATATAATGAAACTCAACAATGCAAAACTCATGTGTGAAGGTCAAAATGTCCTCAACTAAGGACTGCAGCTGCCATGGTGGGTGTGTGATCCCATTGATATAGTTAATTAGAACAAGTTTCCTAGCCTGGTTAAGGCAACCTTTGGTCCAGCCCTGAACCTTATTAGGAGCCTTCTCCAATGCCATTAGTAATAATGCTGCCTAAGGTAGTTTAGAGGTCATTTATCTTAATCCTCATCTTCTCACATATATGATGCTTCATTTGAGGGGCACAATGATTAGGAAATAAGATTTCAGACTAAGCAAGATTCATCCTAAGATTGGATAATGATGCAAACTGATTCAGGGCTGAGATACTATGCTTATAAGAAGAAGGGTTAGCCCTAAAGGCTAACAACTCATCATCTGACATAGATCAAATGAGACACATGCTATCTCTTAACATTGGCCAGCACCTTTGTTAAGATCTTATAAATCATATCAAAAAGGATGATAGTCATCAATCCTAAAATAATTAGATTTTTTAATGATAAAAACCAAAAAGGTCTTACCTCAACTAGGAGGAAGGTGAGCTTTTAGTGGGGGAAGGATGAACAGTTTCTTATGAGTATATATTAGCAATTACCATTTGTACTATCTTGTTGTTCTAGCTATGATACTGTCATCAAACAAGTTTACGACCATTTCACACTCCGAACACTTTTGTCTGTCTTGATCTATCGATCTTTCAGCAATCAAGTCCTGCAAGCAATGCTTTGCTTCAAATCAGGCAAGCATCCACCCATTCATTCAACGAAATGAGTGCTGATGGCATCCTTGAAACGTATCTATTGCACAACTATTTCCGCAAGTCGAAACTGTCGGAAGATAACTCAAGAGACTGCAGAAACTGACAGTGACCACTTCACAAATGGGTGTTCTAACAATTGGGAAGCAGATGGCCGATCGCTCGGGTTAGGTTTCACGCATTGGCTGATGAAATCTTGGGCGTCTCTGGATAGGTAGCTCGGAATCGGAGGCTGTTCACCGCGGCCAATCCTAAATAAAGCTTGTGTCTGCAGATTGAAAGAGATCAATAAGCCTTCTAGGAAAGATGAAACAAAAGTTCATCTTTGAAGAACAAGCCAAATGTCAAACAACATAAATGGAATGCTGCTATAATTAGAACATCGGTAAGCGCTCAGATAAATTGCCTTTTAGCAACTATTCTTCTATAATTATAACTAAAACTTAAGGCTTTGTGAACAAAAAAGATTTATTAGAAGCTTTATTTCCCATAGTTAACCATTTTTTGTTCCTTTAGACTTTACCATCATAATAGTGGTCAGGCCATCGAGACTAGCTTGATATTTAATCAAGCTTCGCCGAGAAAATTAGAGAAAATAGATGCCTAGCTGCTGTTGGCTGTATGCTTGAAGGAGATAATTAGTTGTTTTGTTGTGGAATTGAGAGAAAGGTTGAATCCAAAGCGTAAAACATAAACCAATAATCAACTGCTATTGAGATATGAATCACTCACCCACTCAAGATTAGGATAAGGAATCTGACGTGTCAGCATCTCCAGAACCGTGCATCCGAGGCTCCATATATCGCAAGCAGGTCCATATGTCTTTCTAGGATTTACAACCTGAATAATGATTGTGTATCGATGAGTAAAAACTCCAACAAATCTCCTATGGTCATCTAAGATCAAAAGAGATTGAACATATATGCATCATTATAATCATTGAAAGAGACGGCACAATCTACATAGATGGAAATAGTTCTAGTATTTTTAGCAAACTAATCAAGCAAAGTTTACCAGGAGGACAATTACAATCTTGTTTCTAGTGAGCATATAACCAGGTGATTTAAAGGCGCCACTTACTACCTCGCATACCGAAATACCGAATTATCACAAATAATCATCTGTAGCAAGTAGAGGTTCTAAATGAAGATGAATGCATAGCGTTCAGGATAGCTGTTGTTTTGAATCCCCTTTGTGAACTTTCAACTAGCTACTGCTGTGTTGCTATGTACCCGATGTACTGCTTTACCCAACAAATCTTGTGTTTCTTCTGTTTTCCTAATTTGTTTTAGGTATTGAGCAAACCAGAAACACAATCTATTGACTTAAATCAGGCATTTCATCTCTCCCCCTCCCTCTACCCAATTGATGGCTATCATTCTTCATCTGTCGGTACACTATCAGAGGTTGTATCATCAGAGGAGGGTGTCATAGGTCACAGAAGCACGGTAAGTAAAGATCCTTTTGACGCTTTTTCATCTATTCTATTTCAATTCCGTGCATTTGGCTCCTTGCAGCTTGCCTAATTAGGTTTACTAGTGCTGTGCTGTGCCGTGCCAAGGAATCGTTACTTGCAAACTCGGGATAAACATGACATTTTATCCTCGTTTAAGTTGATATATAGAATGAGATGACACAAAACAATATAAGTTATAAGGTAATCATCAAGTGTTGTTATAGAAATTTACTAGAAGAGATGGGCTAACCTCAGGAGCCATCCAGTAAACACTTCCCTTGCATGATTTGAGCACATTGAACTTGGTTATCTGAAATCGCAAACAACACCGGTGAATATGCATGCACCAGAAAGCTTTCAAACCTTCAAACAGTTGCATGTAAAAGTTAGAGCATAATAAACCAACCTCTTTAGCCAATCCAAAATCAGCAAGCTTTACAGAGCCATTTGCATGAACCAGTATGTTAGCACATTTTATATCTCTGACAAAAGGAAATGATATCATTAGAAGCTGTATCTTAAGTTACTTATTGCTTTTAATGTGTAATTTCGTTAAACTTACGACAAAACTGATTATAATGCTTATGGATAATCTAATAATTGCAGAATGCATATGGATAGACAGTCGAATATAGAAACTTCAAGGTCAATTTTCTACAATTAAAACACTTGCATCACCTGTGCACTACATTTCGCTCATGAAGATATTTTAGACCATATAAAATTTGTCGGGTGTATGCAGAAACTTGGGTATCTTGTAGACGATACTTTTGGTATAGAGATGCAAGGGAGCCCTGTGTGATAAGTTCAAGGAAGATGAACAGCTTTGCTTCCTCCTGCAATACAATCCATACAATAAGTTAGGAATTGTTAGTAGGGATATAAAGAATGGATTTTTCGATTAGAAAGAAAATGGCCTCTCTCGTCTTCCAAAATAATAAAAATCATGACCCTAATCACAAGGTTTGCGGTGCATTTTCATAACAAAAACAGAAGCATTTAAATTTTGGCAAAAGCTGAAAAGAGTTACATATGAATTTTTCGCATTTGCATCTAACACGAAAAGAATCCAACCTAAAACTATAATCAGATCAGAAGACAAATTACCTTGTCTGTTCCATAGTACTGGACTATGTTTTGATGTTCAAATTGGCTTAATAGCATAATCTCCTGAAAGATCAAGTGGAAAAAAAAAAAAATCTCAGCAAGATAATTAATGATCCAGACAAAAGAACATTCAATTGGTACTTTAGGAATCAAAAGAGAACCATCAAATGTTTACGTCTGAAGTGGAAGGATAAATACGACAGCAAAGATTTTGAGATTATTCTACCTGCTCAAGTTGAAGAATGCACTGTTGAGCATTACTTCCTTGGTCAAGCAAAGATACCTCTTTAACAGCAAAAAATACACCTACACTGTAAATGTAAAGATGGAACAAGCAAATGTGATCAGCAAATAATATCGGAAGAAATCTGATGACTATTCAAGGCGATTTTGAGTATGGAGCATTAAGAATCTAAAACAAAAGCATAGTTGTCATCAATGGATTCTAAGCCTTGCAAGATTGCATCAACACTTACTCACTGATCCCTTCGTACACCATTCCATAGGAACCACTCCCTAGAAGTCGACCTCGCATCCATGACTTGATGTTCCTCTTGAACTTGCCATTTGGTGAAACTATGAGCATTGTTTCAGTACTCATACTGGATTTATCATCATCAACATTCATGGTGGAGTAGGATGAAGTCCCGGTGAAGCCCTCGGAGGTCTCCCCCAACCTCAGCTCCACCAACTCTTCCTCTCCTTCTGCTTCTATTGTGTTGTCTTCTTCATCCGTTTCATCGTCATCGCAGGCACCAAAAGTATTATCTTTGTCCTCCGGAGCGAAAGACCTCACTATGTCCCAAGCTGAATCCATCCCGTCAATGGCTGGCAAGGACATGTATGGAGGCGGTGGGAGTGCCGGTGGTGGAGTGAGGGGCGCCAAGTTTATCTGCGGCGGTGTAAGAGTTGCCGGAGGAGCAAGAATCGATGGCCGAACACCTCGGATTCCTCCATCACCTCCCCTAGGTTCAAAAGATGGGACGGAATTCCTGACAGCTTCATCACCCGCGACCGTGATTTCCATGGAAGTATCGCAGGAATTCTTCGCAGGTTCGTTCTCCTCCACATCGTGACGTCCTGTGGGTTCTTCGATGGACGCGGAAGAGTGAAAAGTAGGCGGTGAATCCGACGCCAAGGTGGCTGATTGAGATGCAAAGGTGGGGTCTTCATGGGTTGCGCTATCGGGATGAGAGAGTGGGGATCTCCTGTGGAGGAGGTCGGAGGAGGATAGCGCCTTGCGCGCCTCCCATGCGGGCAGAGAAATGGCGAAATCCTCGGGCCCGGAGAGGCCGAGGCTACGGCAGAGGATCTCCACCTCGCCCTCGATGCCCCCAATCCGGAAGCTGGTCTGGTTGGAGTACGGAAGGTCCAGCGATCGGGTGGGACGAAGCGGGGGCGACTCGTCCGACGAGGCTGAACAGGAAGAGGAAGAGGAGGACCACGACACGCCACCGGCAGCCGCCGCCTCCACCCCGTAATCGAAGTTTTTGGCGGCGTTGCGCCTGTCTAGCCGGGGCGGCCGTCTCATCTCCTGCTGCTCGTGCTGCAGCCGCTGTTTGGAGTCCATCGCCCCGCGCCCCAATCGGAAGGCGCCTCTTTTATGGCTCCAGAACAGCATGGTTGCAGGACGGAACAAATCCCATCACAAAGAAGAAACGGGAAGAAGATGTTCTAAAGGTGATCGGAGCTCATGGTGTCAGAAGATCCAATCTTTGCAGCAGAGGAAGCACGGAAAAGCGGAAAGGGAGCGGAAAAAGGAGAAGAAAGAAGGGGAAAGAAGGGGAATTCTGGTCAAAGGACGGATCTGGTGGAGCTCAAAGGGCCGAGCTTTGGAAACTTCAAAGGTACGAGTTTTACGAGTAATAAACCACGCGACGGAAAGGGACGAGAAGAGGCTCTATGCTCCACCGCTGACCCGAAGGAGGCGTTTGAAGCCAGAATTGAATACATGGCTGGCATAGGGAGCTCGCCAATCGAGATGCTTGGCGTCAGCCAGGGAGAGAGACTGGAAAGTGACACCGGGATTTCAGGAACAACGCACCAAACTTCGACGCCAGAGTACAACCTCCCTGTTCTTGGTCGTCTTCTTTCTCAAAGGGATCAAACTGTCCTCCACTTAGCAGACAATGAACCCAAGTCCAAGTTTCCAGCTCTTCTTCATTCAGTGGGGCAAGGAATCTGTTGACTTTCTGACATTGGCTGTGAATCAGATCAACCATCATGATCCTTATCAGTTCCAGCGGCTACGTTCTGACGGATCTCCGAAGTCCACCCGTGAAATTTATCCGACTGGACATCCAAACCACTGTCGAGAAGTCAATTCCCAGTCGGTGACTCAGGGCATGATCTTAATCTGCATCCTCTCAAACGGAAGAAGGGCTCAAAAACACGCTTAAAGATACACCTCGACGATGACGTTGACTCAGAGCCCAAAATCCAATGCGACGAGAGACTGGCGTACCGGATGCAAAACCTGATACAGCGAAGCTAATCGGGTTTGACTTCCATGGAGTTTGCAGCCAACGACGTTTCTTGAGATGTCGGCACAAGGTTGACGTGTTAGAATCGTCAACGCCACCGTAGCGAGCGCCGATTGGTTGTCCCTGTTCCGGTGGACTGCAGAAGAATCCAGATGCTCAGATTCGTGATCATTGCAAGCAGACAAGTAGTCAACGTAAAGATCTAAATCGTGACGAATGATAATGGCCGGCAGGCATCCGTAAAGACGAGTAAACTCATCTCGCGCGGTTGGTCATCACGCGGCGCATAGTCGATACGCGTGGATCAAGTTACAACACGAATCTTATAACATGACAGTCCACGCCCCTCTCGGTATCACCCGGCCGATGCCACGCGATCCAACGTCGCTCGATTCATTTCCTCCTCGACTCTTCCCAATCTAATCTTTTTATGTTACGATTGTTCATTTACCAAGAACCCTAATTATTCCTCGATCCCTTTGTGGGAATTCGCCCCTTCTCGTTCAACTCCTATGATGCGATCTCTTCTCGCAGCATTGCGTCGGTCCGTCCCCACTCTCGTCTACATGGCGCCACTCAGAACGCGACCGGCCCGAGCGACGAGGAGATCGCCGTCGCCGTCGACGGAGATGACTCGCCCACGGCCAAGAAGCCACTTAGGGCTGAGTCGAGGATTCCCCTGTTCGTGATCTTCTCGGTCGGCCTGCTGTGCATCTTCCTCACCATGCCCGAGGCCGAGCACGATACGATCCTAAGGCTAACGCGGCACCTCTCCGTCCTCAAGTGAGCTCCTCTCTCTCTCTCTCTCTCTCTCTCTCTACTACTA